AAAAAAAAAAAAAAAAAAAAAAAAAAAAGAAAAAAACGGTATAACGTTGATGCATAATGCAGTTGTTTACTTAATAATTTAGACTTCGTTATTAGACTACAAAATGAAATCCTATCTCCATCTATGTGTACCTCCACCTGTCGCCTTTCTTCCTCCTCCTCCCCCTTCTTCCACTGCCTCAACCTCCCAGTTACTTTCTACCTCTTCGAATCACATTTTTTTTCATCCTTTTATACGTATATCTGTTTCCTTTTTTATTGTCCTGGGACGACCACAAACAAAAATACGCACTCTTAAGCACAGCACCTATATATATATATATATATATATATATATATATATATATACGAAAAATAAAAGCACATTTACCCAATCATTTGCAAGGTTGCGAACAAAAAAGCATAGAAACGTTAAAAGAATTAAAATTTATACGTATACACACATCTGCCACCTGAAGGATAAAATATTCTCTTTTCCTAAGCCTTTCTCCTTTCCCAGTTCCCCTGCATCCATTTATCTACTGACGATATTTGATTAGAAAAGTGAAAAATTGCATGTTGTTTTACAAAAAATGAAAGTCTAAGATGGAAAATTAAAAAAACTGATTGGTTAGTAACACAGAAAAGCAACCTTTGGTTCACCTGTGTTGTGGTCGATATGAGTGAAAAGGGAAAAACTTTTTCAACATTTCGTACAGATATATCACTTTTTTTGCCTTGGTTCTATTAATACGCCGTGAAATGATCAGGATATTTATTTAGTTTGCCGATTGTTGGACATTAGTTTCTTTCTTTTGTTGTTATTGCTGTTGTTCTTGGTACTGTTCCGTTACGTTCATCATAATCAACTTGCAATTATATTGTTGATTTCACCAGTTAGCAATAATAGGATTATCCTCATCCATGTAACAGAAAGATAGACTATTTGAACGGACTTAAGCGTCACTTTAAATTCACCTCAATTTTTCGAAATTACAAATCGCCGTCTAATCGTATAAGCTAGTGAAAATTTCACTGGCCAGTGCTTACGATAAAGTCTTTTTATGCTCTGTCGAACACAAACACACACAAAAAAAAGGCAATTTCGAAGTATTACACGAAGCAAAATAAAAATGAATAAGATTTGTATCAATGTTAATTTGATATTTCTGGACTATACTTTTAAATTGTTAATGTCATCATCGTCAGCCCCATCATTGTCACACTGATGGGGCTGACGATGACATTAATGATTTTATAATTTCACAGTTTCTTTTCAACATTTTTTCTTTTATCTCTTTTCAGCAGAATTTTTTTGCAACCCAAGATCTAAAGTGTAAACTGCTCCGGCAACTGTTAAAAAAAAGTTTCTGTTTTTTCACACAGTAAACTGCTTGAAACGTGTTCACATAAATATATCGGACACTATAATTCTCTTTGATATTGGCATTTCTGATGACGAATCAGTTAGTTGGGGGTGTAAAAGTGTTGTATTGTCTATTTATCCGTACTTGATGGTTCTCGCTGAAAAAAAATTATTTTTTCTCCACTCCAACTAACATTGATTTCTGATTCGTATCCCAATTTCTATTTCTCATTATTATTTTATTTAAGATTCCACTATGATCTTCTTTAATGTATGAAAGCGATGACGATGAAGAAGCCTAAGATGTTATTTCCTTAATGAAATTGAAATTTTCTGTTTCTTGGTGTTTACGTTACATTTTAGCTTTCCCTATTCGTCTTCTGCTTTTTTCGGATTTTTTTTTTACGCTTATATTTGAATTTTCTTATGATGACAGTAAATTGGTTTCAGCCAACTGGACCATATTATATCAAGCCACTGAAAAGTCATTGACCATTACAGATAGCGGCGGAATACAAGTCTGTTTCTTTTTTCTTTCCTTTCCCTTTACTGCTACCGAAGTCAATTCCTGAATCGGAGGGCACTGGAAAGGGCGGAGATTGGGTGCCAGTAATGTGGTATTTCGGGGTGTTTTCAGTAGACTGTATTTTACATCACTTAATAATAATAAATATTTACTCTTCTAAAGTTTTTTTTTCTGTTTTTGTTATTATTGTTGTTGCTGTGGTTGTCGTTGCCGTTGTCTTATCGTTATTTTCTTCGTTGTCATTGTCGCTACCGTTGTTGTTGCTGTCGTCATTGAAGCTCTTGCTATTAGTAGTGGTGGTTATAACTTCAGTCGAACTTTTCAATTTCAGTACCACAAAAACAGTCTCTTTTATCCTACAGATAAAAAGTTCTTCTTTTAATTCATTTTTACTTTTATTATTATCATTTTTATTGTTACTGTTATCATTATTATCATTATTATTTCATTATTATTGTTATTATTATCGTGACCACTACGCTTATTAGTCATATTTTTCCCTTTTTAAGTTATTCAAAAAAGACGATTTTTTTTTTTTTTGAAAACATGTGAATTTTGAAGTTATTTAAATCAATGTGTATTTGATTGAATGATCTAGAAATTCAATTTTTTTAATACTTTCTTTTGAAGGCCACTCTATAATGCTGTGGCTGTTGCAAAATATTCGATCAACTTCTGATCCAAACATTGAACCAACGAAGATGTGTTACAGAAGAATTAGTCTGTTGGAAATTTCGTAATAAGTAAACCGCCATTGTTTCGTGCTTTCTTCAGCTAACTTCCTGTTTATGTGCATTTATTACAGGCAGAA